GAGGCGGCGCGAAACCTGCCCCTGAGGGCCCGCGTGCTGGCCGGAGTGCTATGGGCGCACGCGCGGCGTCACGGCCCGGGGTACATGCCAGCGGGACCGGGGCACGGGGCCACGTCACCAACAGCGACTCGCGCCGCGGCACCCGGCAAGGTACCGAAGATCCCAGTGCTGATGGTGGAGAACTTTGGCAACGCCATGCTCCCCGTGCTGGCTGGGGCTCGGTTTGTGTCCTACATCACTGGAGGGGTCATCCGCGGCCTGTGCGAGTGGTTGGTCGGCGGGCACGGAATCTTCTACGTCAGCGGATGACCTCGCCGCCCATGGTGTAGCCCGTGTTGTGGGTCTGCTCACACCACCCCGTCTCCTCGAAGAGGTGAACAGTGTGAGGGTCAGCACCACCTTCCGCATCCTAGGCGGCGCCGCGGCGAGAGTGAGCATTGAACAATGTCGTGCTGTGGAGGAGCGGGTCCATGGAATGGATGCGGACGCTACTCCAGTCGCCGAGGGCAACATGCCCGTGGAGAAGGAGATGCCCCTAGAATGCGACGAGGCGCGTGCCAACGGGACTATGGCATGCATGGACCACGACGTTCCTAGCCGCATCCTGCGTGACGAGGAAGACCACAGCGTTGAGGAGGAGGGCCAGTTCGGCTTGCTTGAGGGCCACATATTTTGAGATGAGAGGATGAGTTGGTGAGAGTTGGATTGCAGATTAGGATACTATCCTTAATTTGACACAAAACTTCTATACTTGTGTGCTAAGGACAAACCACAACCAATTATTAGGCCTACCAGATCTGTTTTACTTTTCTCTTTCCACAGACCTCACTGGTATGGATTAATGGATACTTCTTCTGTCCTGTAATACAGTGCATTCTAGAAATTTTAGGACAGATTAAGAGAGAACACAAAAGACGCATGTGCCCTCAATTTATTTCCTAATAAGACGCTATCATCAACATGATTTGCAGTGATTGGTTGATAAATTGAAAGTATTTAATGCAAAACTGGTTTCTGTCTTCTAGAATGTCTTATATTTGGGGACAAATTCTGAATGCTAGAATGCATTTATATTACATGATGGAGGGAGTATGAATCAAAGAGAGAGAGAGAGGGAGAGAGAGTGAGAGACAGGAAGAGTTAGAGATGGAACGCAAGAGAGTAAAATGGCTAAGAGAGTCTTCTCCACCTAATCCAAAAGGCTCTATTTATAGGAGGTGGAGATGGTGGTTTATATTTATTACCTCAGTGGAGGTGAGAATTACATGAAGTCCACAAATGTTACAATTATACCCTAGATATTTACTCATATGCCCCTAAACCTATAGTATTTGGGTCTCTTTTACACATAAAGAGAGTCCCTAACATATGTCACACCGTGTTCCACCTATTTGGTTTTGGATGAAACTACAAGACCCAATAGCTGTTTCTACTAGAGGAGACCCAAATATAATTCCAGCTTTGGTTGCTAGGATTGCCTTTATTACAAACTACACATGTATTGCCTCACTAAAAACTCCATCTCGAAAACCCATCACTACAACACAACCCACCTTTCCCTACAATTATGTGTTGGTAAATCTAGGGTTTTGGCCACACATAATGTGTTGGCAATTCTTTACATTTTTAGCGTCACTTAAACTGTCGGCAATAGTAATATAAGGCTACAACTTATATGTCGGCGTTTCTCCTTCCAACACATAAAGTGTTGGCGAAAGTTTTTAGACAGAAAAAATGTCGTTGTATCCTACCTAAATCACTGTCCAAGTGTCGGCGAAGGGGTAAGCCCCGAAGACAAAAACAGGCTGCCCACCCTTCGTTCCTTACTCCTTTTCCGCTCACGCAGACTTCAGAAAAAAAAACTCGCTCTTGCGAGGGTGCAGCCGCCGGGTGCCACCAACGAGCACAACTCCGACGCCGGGTGCCGCCACCACTGCTTCGCCGCTGGGCACCCCTAGCAGGGCTCCGCTGCCGGGCACCGCCAGGAGCCGGTGCCGGAGGCTAGCACTCGGCGCGGCCGCCGCCGCTGACGCCCGCCCAAATCACCGCCTCCCAATCCCGCCCGCGCCGAAGTTTTCCCTGGCCGAAGCCCCGCAGCCTATAGCCCTAGCCCCCGCCGACGAATCCAACGGGCGCCGCCGCCCCAACCCCCAGTTGCCCCAGCCTGCGACCACGCAAGCCTGCCGCCCCCAAGCCCGCCGTCGCCCTAGCCTACCGCCGGCCAGCAAGAGCGGTGCCGCCGTTGCATCCCCATTCCTCTCTGCATCCAGGTGCGTCATCTCCGGATCCCCTTCCTCTCATCCCCATTCCCTTGAGTGCTAGGGTTTCGCCACAGCTTAATTTCTTGTATTTTTTTCTTGGTTGCAGAAAGGAGTAGACAAAGGTGAGAAAGGCTAGAAAGATTCAAGGTTTGGGTTACTTCTCCTGCCAAACTTTCATTCAGTCTAGATCCGCCCTCTCTTCCCCTCTTTGGAGAAGGCTCGATTTAGAAGTGATGTTTACTGCCTTAGTTGATTTTGCAGAGGAACCAGCAGGATTCAAGATATTTTTGCTCAGTGCCTAATTCAAGAATAGGCGCCAAAAGTCATGATTGAGCTATGCTGTGGTGCTTCAGTGAGTCTTCCCAGTTTCATTCGATGAGTGGTGGATGCAGGCTTTAGTTTTAATTAGCACCAATTATTGGATATTCTGTCACTTCAGTAATGTTTCTGGTAGAAACTATGTGGTAGCTGATGTCAAAGTAAGTGTGATACATGTCTGTATTTTGAAAGCTACCTCTGTGGCCAAAAATAGAATCTCATGAGCACGCAGGGGTTTTTAAGCTGTGACAAGGATAACTCTGGTTATCTTGTTTTTGCATTTCATAGAAGAAACACATTTTTATGCTGCTGTATCCTGGTGAATAGTTGCAGGCATATAATTTTGTCAAATTACAATTACAGTGTATCCCTGTTCATTATATAACTAGCGTTTTTATTAAATTGTTTCTATTGGTGTGGTAACTAAAAGTACATCTTTTGAAATATGGCTGTTTTCATCTTAAAATTAGGAAAGTTTCAGTTGTGTGTCAATCACCATATTTTTTGTCGTGCCATAGGACTTTCATATGCATGTTACCAATAATATATTTCAGTTGAATCATTTGTGTTTGCACATCAGATATATGTTGATCTTTCTTATATTGGCACAAAAGATTAACTTGAATTATTTCTAGGTTGGACCATTAGTGTTCTTATCGTGTCGTTAGGTCTGGGATGATGTTTTCTGTTATTTAACTATCATTAGTGTTCTTATCGTTATGTCCATGTATGGCAATAAGGTTCCGATGACTTGTGCATCACAGGATTCAGGACTCTGTTTATCTTTCCTTTGACAAATACTGTGGTGACCAAAGTGCAAAGTTGCTTACATGAGGGCTAAATTTTCTTCCTCTCTCGAATTCATGCCACCCCCCCACACACAAAAAGTTACATGAAGCGGGTGTTAGTTGAATGCTTCAGCGTTAATTGTACGAATTATTGGACGTTATATGCTTATCAGCTTTAATTGGATCAATTATTGGATGTACTATTGCTTTTTGCCAGATTTCGTTTCTTGTAGCTAATGTCAAACTCGTGTTCTATGTCAGTCTGAAAGTGCTCCACACCATGGTCAGACTAGAATTGTATTGCCAGGTGTAGGGCTTAATGGTTTTACAAGGATAACACCAGTAATCATATGTTTGCATTTTATTGAAGTCCCTACTGACAGGAAAGTAGTTTGTTATGCTAGTGTTATGGTGACCAGATGTGGGCGTATGATTAACTTAAATTGTAACCCTAGTCATCATATAATTAATGTTTTATCAAATTGTTTCACCTGGAGTTTTGACTTAAAATTAGAATAGAGAATAGCTGTGTTCCATTTCAATTTACCTATGCTTTCCTGCTGATCATTTGGATATGCAAATGTGTGTTAGCAGTATATTTCACCACAACCATTCGTCTTTGCATAGCAACTACCTGTTCAACTATTTTGCTGGTGGCAGAGATAAATGTGAAATAGTCAATTAATTTAATGACGAGCATCTTGTTCTCTTATTATATCATTATAACTGGGGGTGATGTTCAGTTATTACTCAGTTCTCATTGGCATTTTCAGTGAAGATTTTTTTGTTAATCAGCCTGCATTGTTTTAGACTCTCTGCATGCTGAGCTTCAAGCATACTGCAGTTTTCTCATTTAGGCATTCCATGTGATTTGAGACATGCCCTATCAGCCTATGATGATTATGGATAGGCATCCATGCATGGCATAGGCCTTTGATGACTTTAGTATTTTCTGTCATAGGATTCATGACTCTGTTTACCTGTTATAATAATACTTACCCTGTTGCAAGACTTCAAAGTTGCCAACACAAATGCTAAATTGTCTTGTTTCTTTGTCCAGAATCGATTTACATGTGTGTGATATATAGAAGTTCACCTCCTCTAACAATTTACCAGTCAATCATGATTCATGGGAGCTATAGCAACCCTGAGATGGATGGGAGGGACCTGTCCTTCCTGGGTAGCTGACTGCCTGCCGAGCTGGGCATAAATTTCGGCGGCGAGCATTGCATATGCCCACTTGTTTTTCCCTGAACCCAAGTGTTTTAGGCCTTAATGTCAATAGCTCTCATAGTTTTCATTCTTACTGTTAGTCTTTTTTTCCCTTTGAGTGGGCCCAGCATTAGTTAAATGTTATTGAAATACTTTTATTCTTTGCTTTCCTCCTGAAATACAGAAAAAAAACATTAGAACCTTGTGCAATTGTTTTTCACAATCAAAGCAATTTTCATCTTAGTTTTCATTTCAAGTGGAATGTCTAAGTACACTAAGAAATTACTCATGGAGCTCCCGCAGGACATCCAGTCCCCCTAGGACTTCTTCAGGTTCGGTTCCATTTCCTGGCAGGCTACCACCTGCTAGCATAGTGCCCTCTGTTTTCGCAATGTGTTTTCCTTTCTCAGCTTTCACTACTATGGAGTACATATTCTACTAGTATGTTTAGCTTGATGCCAATCTTTGGGTGGTACATTATAGCATTATTACTAGGTCCTGGACTTCTCAGATAATGTCAGTTCGAAATTTCAGTTTGTTTTTGGTTTTGTGATTTCGTAGTGGAGCAGTCAAGAAGTACCCCACGAACAGGATGCTCGGCCGACGGCAAGTTACAGATGGCAAGGTAAAATAAAACCTAATCTTTACAAATTTATTTTCACAAAGATATCGCCATGGCTTTCGGATATTCAACTGAATTGTCTTTCTTATATATAGGCCGGTGAGTATGTGTGGCAAACGTACGAGGAAGTGTACCAGAAGGTCATGAGGATTGGATCAGCCATCAGAAGCTTGGGCGTAGAGCCGGTGAGCGAAGAATGTCTTGTTTGATGTCGCTGTCTATGTTGAGATTTCATCTTCATCCTGAAAAAGTGAAAATGTATGCCAGTATTTTGAGAACTGATTCGTCAAGTCATATATGCAGGGAGCTCACTGTGGCATATATGGATCCAACTGCCCGGAATGGGTTATGGCCATGCAGGTGACCTCATTGTATTTTATTCAATTTTTATCAGAATTCTTCTTTAGTGTAATCTGATCCAAACTTTTTTTCTTCAGGCATGCAACAGTCAAGGAATATGTTATGTGCCACTGAATGACACCCTCGGTAGGTTCTCCACTTCATCACACTGACTGAAACACATAAATGCCTGAATGTCTGAGTGCACTGAATACTCAGATTTGTGCACATGGTTAACATGTGTTTATGAACAATCTTATCTTAGACTAGAAAAAATATTGGAAAAAATTACAATTAATGAGTAACTCACAATAGTGTGCTTATTTTGTCCTTCATTCTGTAGTTATCAAATCCTATTGTCTTATTGACGATTAAGTCGTAACACGATGCAGGAGCAAATGCTGTTGACTTCATCATGGACCATGCTGAGATATCCATTGCATTGGTCCAGGAGAGCAAGATCAAATCTGTAAGCAAAAACATTTGCCCCCTTTGAATAATATTATTATGCTCTGCACTGTGGTCTCTGCATCATACTGATTAATATGTTTCCAGTAAAAGCTACATGTGCTTGGGATCCAAGTTACAACAGAACTGGGCCTGAACCTGCTAAAATCAATGCTGTTTATTTGAAATTAGTTTTGGAGATCAATGCTACACATAACATTCTGTTTACATCTGACAACTCGTTGAATTGTATTTTTTAGATACTAGCAGTAGTCCCTAAGTGCACAGCCCATCTTAGAGGTTTGCCAACAGCAAACTTGCCAATATGAGGAAAGGGCTGAAGCAGCATGAAGCATCACCATTTTTCGACAAGATAGTTTTCAGCAAAGTGTGTACAGTGTTGGATCTCTTTATATTTTTTCTTTTTTACAAAGCTTTGAACATTTATATATATATCAAGTTGGTGTATGTATGGAAGATCTAATATATTATTTATACAAAAATCAAGTGAATTTGTTCAATGTGATGCCTTCTATATGAGCAAAAGTGGATTTATCAAATTATTTTAATTGTAATTATATTTATGTAGTTTTGCCGACAGTTTTTTTTGGTAGGGTATGGTTTGTAAAATACCTTGGAAATGGTTTGGCCAACATATAAACTGTCGGCAAAGGTCTTAACTGTCGGCATAGGTCTTAACTGTCGGCAAAGGGTTAACTATCGGCAAAGGTTTCAACTGTCGGCGTAGGTAGACCGTTTGCCTACACATAAAGTGTCGGCGATTCTGTTAACTGTCGGCAAAAGTTTCGCCCATGGCTTATAGCGCGACTGTTTCTAAACTGTCGACAAAACTTTTCGCGGGAGGTTATCTGTCGGCAAAGGTGCCCTTTGCCTACAATAGAAAGTGTCGGCAAAAGTATGTTGTGTTATAGTGCATGTGAGAAAAAAGGATATGTTGAAAAGAGCATGCACACAATGCAAAGACGTCAGCATTTTTTCATAGAAACTCCACAGGTGGCACTTCCAGCTCTGGTGGCAGGTTGGCAACGATGCGCACAACCTTGTCGGGGCACTCAGGGTTGACCCCGATTGCCTTGGTATCTATCTGGCTTGAAAGAACTTGTTGGGCTCTCCTTCTTGGTGTGTAGAGCCTCCTCCTTCAAACAACACTAGATATCAGCGAGGTTAGGAGAGGCGACTACTGCAGCCATATGGATCTTCTCCTATTCGCATAGGTAGGCCTCCCGGGCACTGGAGTTCACGGCTATGACTTCATGTGGGCTGGGCATCTTGATCTTTAGGCAAGCATAGTGCAAGATCGCCATGAACTTTGCATAGCATGGCCGGCCGATCAACGCATGGTAGGTGCCCGGGATGGCTTCCACCTCGATGGCGATTAGCGCTTACATAAGTTGCTTGGGTCCGCGAACGTGACAGACAGCTGGATGCTACCGATGGGTACAACTTGCATTCCCAGGATGATCCCGTAGATGGGCGCCTCACTCGGGCAAAGATAACTTCTTAGAATCTTCATACGATCTAGGGTGTCGGCATAGAGGATATTGAGCACACTGCCCCCATCCTCGAGCACCCTTGTAAGGCAAGTGTTGGCGACGATCGAGCTGACGATGAGCAGGAAATGTCTCGGGCTAGGCACATGGTCGGGGTAGTCATCCTAGACAACGGTAATCGACACCATGGACCACCGTAGGCGCGAGGGTGCTGTGACTGCAACCATGTTCACCTTTCGCTCACTGATCTTCCGCCATTGCCATCACTAATGCCCCTACTCTCTGCCAAATATCATGTGCCATTCCTTTCCTCCGGGGGTATCGCCATTGTTGCCGGTTCCATGCTAGGGGCTGCTTAGGTGGTGCACGAGAGGATGAAACCACAGGGATCCTCTCAGCTCACGAGCCACTCAAGTTCGATCTGGAACATCGCTGCGGCTTTGTGGATCCTGTATGGGAGATCCAGGAGCATGCCGTAGAAGCAGGGGCGGGTGGTAGCCCCTCTCCAGTATCGATCCAATGATGGACGCTTGCCAGTGTGTAGAACATCCAACGACATTCTGCCGTGGTGGGGTTCGGGCCCAGACCGAGGCAGATCTAACGAGATAGTACCTCCAGGTTAGCACGCTGGAGGCCTGACAGAGGGAACAACCTCGGGGACTCTCTGTCCTTCATCGAGGTTTCCTTGAAGAGATTTAGTTCCCCGATGTGGTCAGTGACGTAATCTAGACTCTCGAAGCTGAGAACCAGATCGGGGGCGAAGGCACTGCCGGTGAAGATGATCTTGCTGGAGAAGCATACATGGTCTTCATGGCCAATGTCTCCACCTCTGGCGGCGAGGGTGGTGGCTTGGGCCACCGAAAGGCGGATATAAAAAATGAAGCTGCCCCCTACTTGGTGGGCTAGCTATCGCGAGTTCATAACAGCGGCAGGCATCGGGTTCTTCGACGTGGGTCAATGCATGTGCCTTCATGGGCCTCGAGCACTCAAAACGCTAAAAACACATAGGATTTGTCCTGGTTCGGGCCTCCATGCCCTACATCTAGCAGTTGTGTTCTTCATGTTAGGAATGCTCAATCATGAATTCTTTCAATGGAGGAAATGAAGAGAGAGGTGTAGGGGGAAGCGCTATGGTAATATTGGGTTTTTTTATCGGGTCCCATCTCATTGTGTTCGATCCCTTTTAGAGGAGCCGGTGGTATCTCTTATGTACTGGGAAGGCGATGGGGGTACAAAGTGGATGGTTTTGTCCTAGGGTTTCTTGCCCTGGGCTTTGGTCTTGTTCGCGTCTTGGCGCTACCTGGTACTTGTTGTCTTGTACGTTGCTAGGGGCCGACAAAAACACAACCACTCCCAGATGCCACTGCTACAGCCTGGTGCTCACCACCAGGTGCTGTCTGCGCAGTGGTGTCATCCCCTGGTGAGCCTTCGCCCGGCTACCTTTGTACGCCAGGCTCCGGCTTCCTTTGCATGCCAGGATTCTCCTCCTGTCAAAAGGGGATGCCAAACATGCCTGGAGCCCCGTTCTTTGTGGGCTTTGGGGAGTTCCTTGTCCTGACAGGTCACGCCCTGGGCATGTCCCTGCCGAGGGAGTGGGCGATCATGCCTCGCAACTGTGGAACAGGGCGGCAATGTGGTGCTTCTATGCCTGCCGGGCTCTGGGCATTCGACAAATTCCGGAGCTGCCTTCTAGCTTCGCCCTAGTACGAACGTTCACCACGAGCCATGGTCGGGGATGACCGCGGGAGCCTTGGCTCAACCGGGGCTCTACAGGGTCGGGAATTCCCCGCGCCTTGTCCGTGAACCACTGAGCAAGAGATTTTCCGGACGGGGAGCTGATCGACCCTCAGAGGTTGATGTAGCAGCAAAGTTGATGATGCAAAAAGGTTGATGGCTAGCCCCTTAAGTCCATGTAGTGGTTAAGATGAAGTCGATGATGCTGAAGGTTGACTGTGAGCCCTTCGTTCCAAAGTTGTGGTGAAGGTAGAGTCGATTGTGTTGAGCCCCTAAAGGCGTAGTAGCGATGGTGGTGTAGAGTCATTGATCCTTTCCTGTGCTCGTGAGACGTGGTGGAGATGTGGTTGGAGTGATGACCAATTAAGCTGACTGTGCATTGCATCTCCACCTTCCTCGGCCCCTCCTCCACATGCTTGTCGCAGAGTTGGTGGAGGATTCATGTCCGGAAGACTCCTCGTGCATGTGAGGTGTCATCATCTTTGTTCACATGCGTTCTCCTGGATTTGACTCATGTTCTTCGTGGACATCAGGTGCTCTTCTAAATCTTGCCTGATCTCTTTGCTCTCTTGGTTCCAGAAGATTCCCTTCGGTTAAAAGAAAGATAAGAGATGGGGATGGACTCTATGCTTATAGATATAGCCCTTGCCATACGTCTTAAATTCCGGTGATCTGAATTTTCGGGGCCTGATGGCCAGGGCACTGAGAAAAAGAACCACCAAGAATTAAGACGACTTGGAATTTTTTATGCCCGATACTTTTGGTGCACAGAGAGCAATATATATCTTATAATAATCCTAAACATCATTAGAAGTCTTTCTCAACATGCAAGCTATCGGCACCAGCAAGCCACTAGCGCATGCAATTATGACACCTATCCACGTAAGCAGACCATATCAACCACTAACATGGATTTATTTGTCTACTCCGTATGTCAGCATACCCGTTATCTACTAAACTTCATTCGCATATGCTTCTAGTATTACAAAATTTTGACTCCCGAACCGGAAATTCCAGTCTACAGTGAGGCACAACTTAGGTTGAAAAAGACCAGAAATTTTAAGCCTCCGATCGAAAACTCCAATCAACACTACAACATACCGGAATCCTCAAATTTGCCGAGTGTTTTTATGTTTGCCGAGTGTATTCCTTCGGGCACTCGGCGAATAAGTGTTTGCCGAGGGCTGCGCTAAAAACACTCGGCAAAAAAAACACTCAGCAAAATAGGGGGTTTGCCGAGTGTAAAAAAAACACTCGGCAAAGAGCGGGTTTGCCGAGTGTTAAAAAAAACACTCGGCAAAGAAATAAAATCTTTTTTCTAGAAAAGAAGGAGAAGAAAAAAAATTAAAAAAAACCTTTGCCGAGTGCTAGATCTACAACACTCGGCAAATAAATATAAAATCTTTTTTCTGAAAAAAGGAGAAGAAAAAAAATAAAAAAAACTTTGCCGAGTGCTAGATCTACAACACTCAGGCAATTTTTTTTTCCTGAAAATAAAAGCCGCACTGCCTCGCACACTGCTCCCTCCCTCACCCCGCACGCCGTGCGCCCCTCCCTCCCTCCCCTCCCAGCTCCCCTCTCCCTCCTCCTCCTCCGGCGCCCTCCCCTCCTCCCTCTCCGGCGCGCCCCCCTCCTCCACCCGGATCCGGCGCGGCCCCGCCCTCCTCCCTCTCCAGCCCGGATTTGGCGCGGCCCCGCCCTCCTCCCTCTCCGGCGCGCCCCCCTCCTCCTCCCTCTCTCGGATCCGGCGCGGCCCCGCCCTCCTCCCCTCTCCCGGATCCGGCGCCCCAATCCTCCACCCTCTCCCAGATCCGGCGCGCCCCCTCCTCCTCCCTCTCCCGGATCCGGCATGCCCCCCTCCTCCTCCCTCTCCCGGATCCGGCGCGCCCCCTCCTCCTCCCTCTCCCGGATCCGTCACGGCCCTGCCCTCCTCCCTCTCCGGTGCCCCCCTCCTCCTCCCTCTCCCGGAACCGGCGCGCCCCCTCCTCCTCCCTCTCCGGCGTGGCCCCGCCCTCCCCTCCTCCCTCTCCCGGCCCTCCTTCTCCCGGATCCGATGGCACCGCCCCCTCCCGGCCCTCCCTCTCTAGATCCGGTGGCGACGGGCGTGGTGGTGGTGGCGGGCGTGGCTGTTGCGGCGGCCTGGGCGTGGTGGTGGTGCGGCGTGGTGGTGGTGCGGTGTGGTGGTTGTGGGGGATAGACCCCCTATACCCTCATTGGTATACATGGGCCGCACCACCGGAAGTGGCCCAGCCCGCAAGATGAAGACGTGCGGAGCACGACGCTATATTGTAATTGTACCAAGTTGGATACTTTACTTGTAACCTTGTCCCTTCGCAGTATATAAAGAGGGGCAGGGGTCCCCTAGAGGACAGGATCATACAGATCAATACAAATAACATAGCACAGGACGTAGGGTTTTACGCCACACTGGCGCCCTGAACCTGTATAAATCTTGTGTCTTGTGTCTCTGTAACCATTTGGTTCTTGATTACACGCATCCTACCGATAATCTACCACCACGGGCACCCCCCTCGGTGGACTGCCGACCATATTTTTCGTCGACAGTGGCGCGCCAGGTAGGGGCCCCTTTAGGGGTTGTGCGTGCTGATCTTCCGGCGAATCAGATGGCGATTTTCTCATCAACATCGTCCACGGCGACTCGGCTCCTCGCGGTAGGCTTCCCTCGGCAGTGTTGCATGAAGATCTTGATCGACGTATCGGTGGGCCTCGGCCCGTGGCAACGATGCCGCTCGTAGCGACCACACATCAAGACTCATGATACCCCAAGCCTCCGTCGGACAAGACTTCGTGGTCAGCGCACCGTGCGGCAAGGCAGATCAAGCAAGGAGCAAACACGTGCATGCTTTGCATGTACCTCCAATCTCTGACAACAAGACGATCCAGATTCGTGAACGACGTAGCTGAAGGTCATGCAACACTAATCAACCAGCAAGCAATCAAGGACAAATACATCTACAAGACATGCAAGTTAGTTGAGTCAGGCTTGCATGCATATGCATCACTTGTACGGATTATTTTCTAGCAGCAGCCGACCAGCGAGCGACGCCGAGCCCTGACCACGTCGACCACGTCCCGAGCGGCTCCGCCGAGCCTCGACCACCAGACCACGTCCCGAGCGGCTCCGTCGAACTCCGACCACCAGATCACGTCGACCACGTCCCGAGCGGCTCCGCCGAGCCTCGACCACCAGACCACGTCGACCACGTCCCGAGCGGCTCCGTCGAACTCCGACCACCAGACCACGTCGACCACGTCCCGAGCGGCTCCGCCGAGCTCCGACCACGTCGACCACCAGACCACGTCGCAATGATGATCGCCACGAAGAACGGCGCTACGACAACCGCGACCATCGTCGTGACGACAAGTCGGAAAGCTCGAGGACCGGACAACTTCATCGCCACCGACTAGATTTCTATCCAAAGATAAGTACACTTCTAATATTTATATTTAACACAATTTTCATTACGACGTTTCTCCACAGCGTCCTCGTCATGATTATTCTTCAAATAACGTTTGTCCATGTATACCATCTTAAAGATAACATACAGCTATACTTAATGCAAATCCTCGACCAATCATGTTGAGGCTCGATGTCTCCAGAAAAGGCCCTGTCTCCAGCTCCTCCCTACACGTGCACGAGCGTCTGCCCTCTGCGTTATGGGTGGTCGGCAGCGGCTCCTTAGCGACGCTTTGTTCTTCCTACACGTGCACGGGCTCCGCGCCCCGCGTTATGGTTAACGGGCTAGCTAGGGCTGGAGACTCGGCTACATACTAACTGGTCGGGCAGTTTATATTAAGTATAAACATAAACTTCACTTTAACACTGATGTTTACAAAGCACCAACTGCTTTATCACATCACGCTCATTTGCAAATGACTGTCGAGCGTCATTTTCTCCATAATTTATTACTTTGTACATCATGTACTACCATTCTACATATTTATATTGCAGTAATTTCGAGCTATGCTCGGGGACTTCGTCGCTCGCTCCTCGACCTGTGCTCGGGGACTGCCTCGACCACGGCTCGGGGACTTCGTCGCTCGCTTCTCGACCTACGCTCGGGGACTGCCTCGATCACTCTCCAACCACAGTTTGGGGACTTCGCCGCTCGCCCCTCCACCTGTGCTCGGGGACTACCTCGACAACTCTCCGACCACAGCTCAGGGATTTCGCCGCTCGCCCCTCGACCTGTGCTCGGGGACTGCCTTGACCACTCTCCGACCACAGCTCGGGGACTTTGCATCTCAACTACATGCGACTGGCGACTCGCATACAGTTGGGATATTCTTTCTTGTTTAGACCTTGTTACAAGGCTCATACCTCGGCTTCCAGCAAGCTCGGGGACTACATCGGTACGATGCACCTGCCGGTGTATTTTGTATCGCCTGTACGACGATTGGATTCTCAACTTAACTGGGAATTCTTTTTAGACCCTGGCACCACGTGCCTACGTCACCTACTACCAGGCTCGGGGACTAAGTGGGCACACTTCACCTTGTGGTGAATGTGCTCGCTCTGATGGTTCAAACACCTCCGATTCTACAAGGACGACGGTGTCTCTTCTCGACTCAGAGTCAAAGTGGGCACACTTCGGGGGAAGTATTTTTCAAATTTTATCTTGAGCCCCTTACATCCTTCTGGCAAGCTCAAGACGACGCTACTCAAAGGATACAAGACGCTCGGGGACTAGCTGTGGGGGATAGACCCCCTATACCCTCATGGGTATACATGGGCCGCACCACCGGAAGTGGCCCAGCCCGCAAGATGAAGACGTGCGGAGCACGACGCTATATTGTAATTGTACCAAGTTGGATACTTTACTTGTAACTTTGTCCCTTCGCAGTATATAAGGAGGGGCAGGGGTCCCCTAGAGGACAGGATCATACAGATCAATACAAATAACAGAGCACAAGACGTAGGGTTTTACGCCACACTGGCGGCCTGAACCTGTATAAATCTTGTGTCTTGTGTCTCTGTAATCATCTGGTTCTTGATTACACGCATCCTACCGATAATCTACCACCACGGGCACCCCCCTCGGTGGACTGCCGACCATATTTCGTCGACAGTGGTGGTGCGGCGTGGTGGCGGCGGCGTGGATGGTGGTGGTGCGGGGTGGTGGGGCCCTCCCTTCTTCCCCAGCGTGGTGGCGGCGGCGGTGCTGGTGGTGCGGGCGTGGTGTTGGCGTGTCTTTTTTTTTGAAAAAAAAAGTTTGCCGAGTGTTTTTTGGGCACTCGGCAACGTCTTTGCCGAGTGCCTGACAAAAAACATTCGGCAAACTAGCGTTTGCCGATACAGGGTTTGCCGAGTGTAACACTCGGCAAGCCCTTTGCCGAGTGTTTTTTAGGCTTCGCCAAGTGCCCCTGGCACTCGGCAAACCTCCTGTATCCGGTAGTAGCTGGACGCCTGGGCGCAGGAAGGAAAATGGCGACATGCTGCCACTAAACGTACAAGATGAAGGAGATCGAGCCTAGAGTAGATGCTGGCATGAGGAAAGAGGGAGAAAATTGTCTATGGCTAGTACTAGATAATTGAAGGGGCATTATATTATGCTGAATTTTGAGTGAGTGATATATAAGTGCATAAGCAAATCCCATCTTTATTGGATATGGCCGGTGAAAGCGCAAATTCTGGTCAACTCCTCCTTCCAAAATAATTTGAATGGCAGTGCAGTCAATTCACTGATGCACATAGCAAAGGCGCGGAGTAGTGGCAAAGCCGCCGGCGACCGACGCACCGCCACGTCCCACGGGTCCCTTCTTCTTGGATCTTTTCTCCTGTATCGACATGGGACAAACAGGTCACCGATCGCCACACCGTCGTCCTGGTGATGGAGACGAACAAACGGAGGGACAGGTACCAGGTCAAAGCCGCCCTCGATCGAACAGCCAACATCCTCGTGCCAGATGTCGCGGCCGGCCGGCCGGCCGTCTTCCATTCCCAGCTAGCTCGAGGAACACGACAAGATCCATTCATGGCGACATATGCACAAGGAGCCATTCCTTGTCCATATCTCAGTTCCCGTTAATCCCAACATATGCCCTGTTGATAAAACGGAACCTAACCAATTAGACGCAGTTTGCAGGGAAACGAGCTTATTAGCTTGTAGCTATACCCCAGGTGAGGCGACAACATAGTGAAGTTCATTTCGCAGCTAACAATGGCGTCCCGAACTGTCTTGGTGCCGTCCGCCGTCCTGATCCTCCGGCTCCTCGCCCTCGGCCTCCTCGCCGCCTCGCTCGCGCTCATCGCCGCCGACAGGCTCAATGTCGACAGCGACCCGCCGCAGAAGTACACCTTCAGGAACGTCTACGCCTACAGGTACGTCCTGGCCGTCGCCGTCGTCGGGTGCGCTTACACGCTGCTCAGCTCCCTTTGGCCGCCATCAGCATCGCCAGGGGGAAGCGGTCCATCGGCGGCACCGTGGCCGTGGCGCTGGTCCTCGTCCTCGCCGACGTGGTCTTCGCCCTGCTGCTCGCGACGGGGGCCGCGGCCGGGTTCGGCTTCACCTACGACGTGAAGCGCTACCTGGACGGGCTGTTCGACGACATCATCCGGACGCCGGAGGTCGACAAGCTGCACCGGGACATGGACAGGTTGTTCGAGCTGGCCTACGCCTCCGCGGGGCTCATGCTGGCCGCCGCCGCGTGCATGGCGCTCGTCATTATGCTCTCCGTCTACTCGCTCGCCAAGTGACAATGGCGAGATGCATGGAGAGATTTTGGAGGAGTATTAATTCGTTTTGATGAAGTATATTATATGGCGAGCAATTGACTGATGTTATTTAACCGGCCGGTTTGATCATGTAATCTGTCTTTCTTTGTAATAAATAAGCTTTCTTTATCTATCTACCCCTATAATACACCGGTTAGAATAAATCTACAGCCACACAACAAATGCCTGCTCCACAGTCATGACCTATGCTACATCCACACCTATGAATACACCTAGAAAATATAACACCATCAAAACGGATGCACCAGATTATCTCTTAGTCATTCTCTCTCATTACTCATCCAAATCCGACGGCTCATGTTTAGTGTGTCTGCTCTCCATCGCCCTCCCGCGGACCTCCCACGTGCATGCGCCTGCAGGTCAGGCTTGTGTTGATTTCGGTTGCCCCCGTCCACGATCATTTGAATCCTAGGCCGACGGCACAGGAAGCGGCGACCGCGAGGGAGACGGCACACTGCAGAGGGCACGACGACCACGAGGGGCATGGCACTGGGCGCGGCTGTGCAGATCGCCACTGCCCGGGGTCGGCGACGGTTGGGTACGTAGTACGCGGACACGCACGCAGGGCCACAAGGGGCACGACATTGGGCGCGGCAGCGCAGATCGCCATTGCCCGGGGTCAGCAGTGAAGGGAGGGCGGCGGTGGGCGGCCACAGATCAGTCCGACCTCCCTCCGCCCCCGGCACCCATGCCCACGCCCAGCAGCGGCGGTTCAATCCAGTAAGGGAGTGTTTTTTTCCCAAAAAAATTTGAAACACAATCCGCTGCTTCCTCGCCCTGTCTTCCAGCCATGACAGCGACTCCTCCGATTCCTTCCCTCTCTCTCACTCGCATACGGATCCGGGAAGCGGGGCAGCCGTGCGGGGGTGCCAGCCGAGGGCATGCCTCAGCCGCGGGCGCGGGTCCACGACGAGCTGAGGCCGTCACCAGCCGGGTGCTCAAGGCCGCCGGCTCGGGCTTTCATGGCGAGGAGAAGGCTTCTCGCGCTCGCGTTCCGGATCCATGGGAGGTCTCAGGCGACGCAGCCATGGTGGCGACCCCTGCCTCGGTTCCTGTCCTCAGCGGCCTCTGGTTTCGCGCGGCCGGTCACCAGGAACTCCGCTTCCTATCTATGGGATTGATTCGGAGGTTAGGGTTTGCTGATCCGTCTTGGTTTACCTTAAAGGCGTGTTTTTTTACATCTCAAAAAGTTTGGATCAAGGAATTATTTTAGGCTATACTGTGGTGGTAAGAGATACCTATTTCATCGGATAGAGGTAGCAACGGCATTAGCTGTGCCAAATTGTCGAGCTGTAGTGGAATTTGATTTGTTAGTGACCTTTGTTCTTTGTTTGGGAGAAATGAAAATAGTTTGTATCGATGAATTTGACAAGATGAGACCTGAAGACAGGTAGGCATCAATCAATTTATATGTTTGGTGAAACTAGAATAAACATATATTACATCTCCTTTTTTGTCTGCTCTCGAAAGCACATTAACACAGTCCCCGTTTTCTTATGCTACTATTCCAGAGTTGCAATTCATGAGGCCATGGAGCATCAGACAATATCTATTGCCAAAGCTGGCATTCCAACAGGACTCAATTCGAGGACTTCAGTTCTTGCAGCTGCTAATCCAATTGCAGGACTCTATGATGATCTTATGGTTGGTAAACATGTTTTTATTGACTCAATAAGTATCCATCTTTTTAAAGTATATCACTACACCATGACACACATTTGCCTACAGTTATGTGTTGGCAAAGGATATATTTCAACTACACATTATGTGTTGGCAATTGTATAACATTTTTACATCAAGTCATCTGTCGGAAATAAGGCCCTAAGACTACAAGTTATCTGTCGGTGTTTGTCTACTAACACATAAACTGTTGGCGAAAGTTTCTAGACAGACAAAGTGTCGGCGTAGCCTATACAGGGCCACTGTTAAAGTGTCGGCAAAGAGTTACTGTACATGTGACAGACGAGACAGCCTCGCGCTGAAGTGTTGTGGGCCGGACCCAATTATTGAGCTCGCGCGTGGCTATCCCTAAAATTCCCTCCCACGCCCAAACCCAAAAGAGAGAGAGAAAAATCCCCCCGCCGCTTGTGAAGGCGTCCGCCACTCCTCCGCCCGCCCCAGCCCCTGGCGCCCAGAAGCCCCACGCCGCTCCCAAGCGCCACCCCCCCACCCCCCACCCCCCAAAGTGCCCGCCGACACCCACGCTGCTTTTAAGGGGCGCTGCTGAGCCCCACCGTGTGCCCCGCCGCCACCTGGGCGATGTAGCCCACCGCTTACGGTGCTGAGCGGCTGAGCCCGACCTCCGCTTGTGCGAGTCCTGAATGCGTGGTCTGTGCAAGCCCGGCACCAAGCTTGCTGTGCTGCTGCTGCACCTGCAATCCCACCACCTGGTGGGTTGGTCCCCCACCTGCCCAGCTCAGATCCATTTGCTTACGGGACTGGATCTGGTGGAGGTGGCAGCTGCAGCGGCCATGGCTTTGGAGGATCTGCTGCTACATCATGGTGCGAGCAGCTACATCAGGGTGCGAGCAGCAATGGGAGTTCGAGTCCGAGCCCTCGCGCAGCATGCCCAAGGAGGCCCTCAGGTGGCACCACATCCTGGCAGTGGGGCTGGAGACCGACGATGAGCACAAGCTCAACAGCTCACCTCAAGAATTAAATTGGTAATCTTGAAATTCCAGCATCCTCAAGTCATCTTGTTGCTAAGTGGCCATATTGAGAGTATTCTTTCTTTCATTAATCTGTGCTGCTGTGGACATTATCAACCTGAAGATTACATTTTTGCATCTGAAGGATCTTTGTTATACCTTTATTGTTATTGACACAGACTTGAACTGATAATCCATGAATTCTATGTAACATATGAATTCTTTTTCTTGCTATATATAGTACCCATTCGTAACAGATACTTAATGTGGTTGGTAGTCTGATGCCAGCAATAGATACGTGTTCACTTCATTCATTAAATTAAGCAGAAAAATTGTGTCTTCTGTCATTGGCTGCAAATTTTTCTATGTAGCTTGCAGGTCCTCTGAGTTATTTTCAGTATGCATGGTAGCTTGCAGGTCCTCTGAAAAGCATATAACAACAACACTGAAAACGAGTTGAAAATTGTGTAGGGACGGTTCAGTTAATATGTTCCAGAGATAAGTTTATCAATTTGGTGTTCACTTGGCATCCATAGTGTTCATTTTTTATAAACTGGTCTATCATGTTGGATTGGCTTTTTGATATGTTGTTTGATCGGCTTACTGATAATCTTAGAACTAAATTTAGTTCCTACTTCAATGAGAAGCCATTACAGCTAGGGTCCATCCCTAAATAGCATATGTATCACTTTATTGTGGCCTGAAACCATTGTTTGTGGTCTTAAAAAAATATTAAGAGAAGAAAAGTACACATTATTTAGCTCCAAAATTACAGAGATACGAATATGTTTTATCACTAATGATGGTCTAAAATTACAGGAGTAAGTAGGCTTCATTTGCTTTGGCAAAAATGAAATTGCAAAATCCTGAAGAATGACAATAACATGAACAGTTAGTTTCTGCAATAAAAGGAACTGGTGTCCTTTTTCTGTGTCTTTGTGTGTTTTCTGTATTTTACTAGGAAAGCAATTGTTCATATGCAGGAGCCTTTCTCAGGTGTAATTTATGAAAGGCTTGCAGGAGCCTTTCAAGGTGTAATTTATGAAAGGCTTGCAGGAGCCTTTCATATGCAGGAGCCCTCTCTGTTTTTCGTGTGGCGAATCCCTAAATCCTCAGACACTAATGAGTTCAATGCATCCACATATGTGATATCTTTTTTTGAAAACAGCACATATGTGATATTGAATCTTATACAAGATGTTCTCATGGCATGGATGGTTTGGGAACTTCAACGTGTAATAGTGACATGCTATACTACTGGATTGAACTATCTTAATTCAAGAATTCATAATCGGGAGATTAACTATAAATATGCTCCTAAATCATGGGCTGGAGCTATTTTCATACTGATATTTCATTAACAGTTAACAATTGTTCTTCACTATGTCTGTCTTCTTTCCAACTTCTTGCACAGGTCAGATAAAGTAGTTTTATTCTTTGCATTGCTAAAATATAACATTTACTTGATTTGGGTGCAGGTAGTTAGTATTGAGAGAGTTGACGAAATAGCAACCAACATAAATTGGACTCTCTACTATGCCTCTCCTGCCTGCGGCTCTTTTAGTGCAATAACTGTTCAATGGTTTTGCTTTGATTTAGAACTTAAGGGCTGCACCAACCTATCATGATGAAGAATAAGAAGACATGATCATTACAAGAAGTCTATGCAGCACTCAAAGGTGGTGGCACAGGAAGGCCATCACAGCTTGAAGGTATTTTACTTGAACATTTCGACTTATATGCGTGATCCAAACTGTTTGAATTGTGGTAAAGGAAACCTTTATGGCTATATATATATATATATTCTTCATGCTTGATATTCACCTAGTGTATAGCCACCTAATTAGACATTAGAAACGAGTTAGAAAAACAAATGCTGTAAATAATGCAGGCAGTGATTATGACTTGTTGCCAGCAGTTTTGAGCACAGGAAACAAGTGTTTTTGTCATTAATTACTACAAGAAGATATAAGCTCTACAAGTACCAAATCTGTATCGTCTAAGATATAATAATTACTTTAATAGATTTTTGCTGCTGCCCAATTTAATAATGAAAATAATGATTACAACAAGATTGATCACCACTCTGTCAGCTTCAAGAATTATTTAAACTGATTGGTGAATGCAACACTTGAAACTGGATTTAAAGGAATTATATAACAGGCCTCTGCACCAAATCGTTGATAGCATAGCTGCCCGTTGTACAGTACTATTATTTCACCATTTCCACCCAATAACAAAGCAAGAGTTAATGATACAAACACTAGTTTGCTTAAGTACAAAATCCTAATAACCACTTACGTGATCACCTTG